GCCCCGCATCGGGCTCCCTGCTCCGCGGGAAGCCTGCTTCTCCCTCTCCCACTCCCCCTGCTTGTGTTCCCTCTCTCACTGTGTCTTTCTCTGTCAAATAAATAAAATCTTAAAAAAAAAAAAAAAGCTGGTATAGGTGCATGGCAAATACAATTTTGATTATATACACTTTTCTTAAACATGGGTTTTCAGTTATATCTCTAAATCAGGGGTTGGCAAACATTTTCTTTTTTTATGATTTTATTTTTTTTAATTTTAAGTAGGCTCCACACTCGACAAGGAGTTTGACTCACAACCCTGAATCAAGAGTTGCATGCTCTACTGACTGAGCCAGCCAGGTGCCCCATTTTTTTTTTTTTTTTTTAAGTAAGCTCTATATCCAACGTGAGGCTTGAACTCAAGGCCCTGAGATCAAGAGTCGAATGCTCTACCAACTGAGCCAGCCAAGGCACCCTGGCAAACTCTCTTTAAAGGGCCAGATGGTAGGGATGCCTGAATGGCTCGGTTAGGCATCTGACTCTTGGTTTCGGCTCAGGTTGTGATCTCAGGGTCGTGAGATGGAGCACTGCATCAGGCTCCACACTCAGCAGGATGTCTGATTGAGGATTTTCTCTCCCCCTCTCCTTCTGCCCCTCCCCCTGCTTATGCTCTCTTTCTCAAATAAATAAATAAAATCTTTTTTAAAAAAATCTTTAAAAAATAGAAGAATAGAATTCTTTCTGGGGAAGACAGCATTTCACTTAATTGGAGTTCAAGGCTAGTGTTCTCTAGCATCAAAATTGATGGTAAATGTTCATCTGTTGATGCTGATCAGTAATGAGATTTTATGTGTTTATTTAATCTTTTGGAATGTTTCATACAGATATAAATGCCAAATACCGATATCAATCCACAAACATATCATTTTAATTTTGTATATGCACCCCTTAGAAGGCATTTACAGAATTCAATAGGCTCACAGGCCATATAAAAACAGGCGGCAGGCTGGATTTGGCCCACAGACTATATAGTGTGCAGATGACTGGTTTATATCTTTATTGTTAGTGAGGATTAATTCCTAATTTATGAAATATTATAAGAACAATGATGGTATGAAAGAAGAATTCAGGATCATTAAAACAAAAACATTAGGGGCGCCTGGGTGGCTCAGTTGTTAAGCGTCTGCCCTCGGCTCAGGTCATGATCCCAGGGTCCTGGGATCGAGCCCCGCAGCGGGCTCCCTGCTTGGCGGGAAGCCTGCTTCTCCCTCTCCCACTCCCTCTGCTTGTGTTCCCTCTCTCTCTGTGTCTCTATCAAATAAATAAATAAAATCTTAAACAAAAACAAAAAAACAACATTAAAACAAAATCAGAGTGGGTTAACCAACTGAGCCACCTAGGCGCCCAAAATAAAGACATTTTCATGTGGTCAAAACCAGAATTTGTTGGGGCGCCTGGGTGGCTCAGTCGTTAAACGTCTGCCTTTGGCTCAGGTCATGATCCCGGGGTCCTAGGATCGAGCCCCGCAT